TATCCTGCTTTGACTGTGAAAAGGAGTAGTTACCTATTTCATAAGCCGCTTTAGAGAGCGAAAAAAAAAAAAAAAAAAAAGAAGGAAGAAAAGAAAAAAGAAAAATTCTGTTCTTGAAAAGCTTGAATAGATGTATACCACTATGGCTTTGGTAGGAGTGACTGGGGCAAGTACCTGTAAACATATTGAGGCCAAAACCCCATCTGATTTACCAAAGTCAGGATTTTGCTCCATTGCTCCACAAGACACATCTGCACATAAGTTCTGCAAAACTACTGCCTAACCCCAGGGACAGGTGGGGTCCATGTGTTAGTATTTCCAAGGATCACTAAAGGTGTTGTGCTGAGCTAGGGCATGCCCATTTGAATCCTAGCAGTTGAAACACACTTAGATTACACCTAAACCTGCTGAGAGTCCTTGTTGTGATATTCTCCTGCTTGTCTTGTCTGCAGGACTTGACAATCTGTTCCCTGTGCCCATCTACCAGATCATCCACATGCAAAATGCAGCCAGGGGGTACTTCGAGCCTAGATAGTTCCCTGCTTAGCTTTTGTGGTTTCCATTCCTGCCTGCCTTTGTCTCCTCAGTCTTACACAGCTTCAGCACCTAACTTGGGGCTGTGGATGCCCCCAGATAATGAATACTGTGGGCCCTTGAGGGTGCAAGATATGGTTTATGGACATATCTGCGAGTCCTTCACTCAACAGATCCCTGCATGGGGGTCTGCTGTGGCTGGGACTTTGACTTCATGGTATTTATTTTACTGTGATTCATAAAGATTTTACTGCTGGTGATGACTCACCCAACAGTTATATGTGGCAATTACCAGAACAACTAGAACTAAAGGTTTTCATGCAAGAGTTTGACTCCTCACAGGCAGGATTCAAACCCATCGTTTCAGATGTAGGGAAGAGCATGACACTGTAAAAATAATATATCAAAATAAACTGGAACACACACACTCTAGCTTTTATTCTCATCTCTGACCTTTACCATATGGCCCTGGTAAAGTCAGTACATCTTCAGATCTCAGGTTTCCAGGTGTAAATCATCCATTCACTCTCTATTTAGCACAAAAGGGACTAAATGCTAGCCTAATTCAAATAACAAGCAGCAGGTGTACGCTTCTGTCTTGGTTTGGGCTGAAATAGAGTTAATATTCCTTTTCAGGGACTAGATGAGTGCTGTGTTTTGGATTTAGCTTTGGGTTTGGTATGAGAAGAATGCTGATAGCACACTGATGTTTTCATCAGCTGCTGAGACTTCAAGGACTCTCTGACTCCCTATGTTCTGCCTGTGTGCAAGGGCACAGGGAGCAGGGAAGGAGCACAGCCAGAGCACCAGACCCAAACTGGCCAATGAAATATTCCATATCATGGAACATCATGCTCACTGTATAGAGGAGGGGTGGTTGGGAAGGAGCTCTCTCGCTTCCGGGATTGCGATTGTGGGATCTTGGTATCTCAAGGTCGCTGGCTGGGAACGGGCTGGATATTGGTTAGCGGGTGGTGAGCAATTACGCCGTGCATTGCCTGTTTATATATTTCTTTTTTTTTTCCTCATCATTGACATTGTTCTCATTTTATTGCCATTATTAAACTGTTCTTATCTCAGCCTGTGAGTCTCCCTTCACCCCTCTAATTCCCTCTCCCATCCCCAGGTTGGGGGGGGGAACGGAGCATGACCAGCTGTGGTGGTTGGTTGCCGACCAGGCCCAAACCACGACAGCTTCCAGCAAGGCTTTTGCCAGTCATGTTTCCAGTGACAAGGAAGAAATCTTGGTTATTCCCATGAATGGAAGGAGGAGACAGCATCTGGGGAGCTTGCACACGGGCTCCCTGTCCCTGTGCCTCCTGGAGCCCAGCAACACAAGAGCTGCCTGTGCCTCCTCGTAAAGCCATGGGACCATTTCCAAATCTGTGAGCCAAAAGTGTGATTACACTTTTTTGGACACACCTCCATTTCCCCAGTTGCTCCTTCCTACACCTCTCGTTCCAGTAGCAATCTCATTGTCTCTTATCTCCCCTTCACAGGATCTTTTCTCATTTTAGCCAGAGTCATGTCAGGTTTTATTTCCTCTTCTTTCCCTTTGTCCAGCTCCCTTGCCCCAGCCCCTCCAACCAACATTCTGTGCGTTTGCAACAAAAGTGTAAACTTCAGAAACCATTTGTATTTCACGGGCATTCACACATTATGCCAAGATGATGGCCCAAAAGTTTGGCGGGTAATCTCAACCCCAGAATTCGTGAGCTGATGATGAATGGCTGTGAAGCCTTTGTGATTGCTCAGGCTCCATTGTGACTGGAACAATGGAGGAGGACACAAGTCTGGCTCAGGAGAGCAACGGATAAAACTGTTGGGGAGAATGGTGGGCTCCTGCCGACATGACCACTTGTTGACATTGAAAGGATTCAAAAACAAGTGAGCAGAAACAGAAACGATTCTGTTCGGCAAGGCTATTAGTTGCAACGTGTGGCAGTGGAGCGGTCACTCCTGATGTGTTTCCTCACTAATGAGCCCTGAATGCCCTATTAAACTGGGATGCTATAGGCCCAGCGCCACTGGGGCAATGCTATGCATGAACGATTCCCCCAGCACCTATTGGCTGCCTGCATGAAGGAAGCAACTGGCAACACTCAGATTTAAACGGGGCTGACAGTACAGTTAAATGATCATTAATTAGAGTTGCCGAACAGATAGGGACTCAAAGAAATTCTTAATGACAAGATAACAGTCTAGCATTACTCACCTTTGAGCAAGTTCAAGATTGCACCCCATCTTGGTCTTTGTACTATACAGACGGGTGTCAAACTGATTTTGGTTTCAGTCATATATTCACAAACCATAAGAAATCCTGACTGTGTGTTGAGGCAGCACTAGAGATTTTTCTATGCAAATACAAAAATAACTGTGTGTTAAAAATAGCTTTTATGCAGAAAAGTTCACATTAGAAAAAGGAAAAGAGAACAGTAAAAAGAATCACTCTTCTATTAACATGTTTGGAAGTGAATCCATAAGGAATTCACCACTCATACTTTTTATGTTGTTCTTCATCAACCTCTCTCCCCAGTACTTAACACGCTCTATTCCCCCAACCTTACTCCTACCTTACAACTCAAACCCCTGTTTGCTTGGTCAGTCACTGAATATTTATCTGGGAAAATAAAAGAACAGAGCATCAAAGCACCAAGCATTAGAAGCAAAAAGTCAGAACAAGAAATGAACGCTGGCTTGAGGGCATCATCCCCATCCGCCAGCTAGGGAAGAGTCTTTCCCCAAGAGCACATTATCTCCTAATCACCAGCTTCTGGGCTGGTTGCATCATTGTGTGAAACATGTATGGCCCCTTCTTGCAAGAGGATATTGGATTAGCATGAGTCTGATTTCCTATAAGAAATCTCATTCACTGAAGACTATTGTTGACTATATATTCTTATGGTGCAGTATAAATGCTTCATAAATGCACAGTACAGTTCCTAAAGGCTTACAGGCTCAGGGCACTTGTGCAAGTTCTCCCACCAGGGATTGAAGTGGTGGAACAAACAATGTGTGTTTGTGACTAGAATAGTGAATATCAAAGTATTTGGCACTTTATTTCTATTTGGTATTGGAGATCTTGTTAGTGTGTATTCTTAAACTGTGGAAAGTATACTGCAATAACCACTTCAGTTCCACAATATATTACATAGGGGTGCATGTATGTATGTGATGCAGTGAACTAGGAATAAGTCTCTTGAATAAAACATAAGGTTATATAAACACTTAATAGTACATTATTCTGAAACTTCTTATTTTTTTTTACACATTTTAAGGAACAAAGATGTTGTAGAGAGGGAGGCAGATCACAGCTATGATGAGACTGTGGAGAAACCCACTTTAGCAATTATTCCTGTTGTATGTTAAATTCTGCAATATGATGCATACAACATAACATGATTATATTATATGACTCTTAAACCATCTCCATATAGCATCTAATACAAGAAGGCCCTGATCCAAAGGGTTTCTGAGTCATCACTAAATGAAATTGCCAAGTAAACAAATGTTTGCTTTCATCTCTTCCCTCCACATCTCTGTTCGATGGAGTAACCTTTTTAAAGGAAATAACAATGTCATGATAGGTGCTATCATATCATCTAAAAAATGTGTTATCATTCTGATATGGTATTAATTTTTTTATGACAGATTTTCTCTGTTGTTTTTTTTTTTCTTCTTTTCCTTTGTAAATTAGGCAGTGAAAGCTTAAATAAAGAGAGAAGGATCCTTTACTCTAAATGAATGATTTTATGATGTGGGCCAGATCAGTGACTAGAGTTGTACCAATTATAGAATTATAGACTAGCAGTGCCAGCACCGTACAGCCACTAGGTGCTTCACGTGCAGGCTCTGCATATGTGTGTGTATGCACATGCATGCACATGCACATACATCTTTGTAAGCCTTGTGGCTAGGAAGAATATGTCAGAAAAGGGTAATAGCAGGAAAATAAGAAAAAAAATATGGAAAACTTAAGCATTTAGTTCCATCAGAAAGCTATACTCCTTTCAAACTCTTAATATGGGCACAATAACCCTGTTGGTTTTTCAACTCTCCCTGACTCCCCCAGCACACACAAGGCAGATTCAGAGTATTAATTTCTCTGAAGGGAAAGAAAGTAAGTGAAAGTCAAGCCTGGGATTTTGGGAGGAAGCTGGTTTTCAATTTGGCAGTGGGGCAGCAGTGTTACTCCACAATCACTGCTGAGGTGCAAAACTATTTGTGAAATGACGTATCGCTTAGTAGGTTCCAAATCTTTCTTTGTAAGTATAAAATTTTCCAAGGTAAAGAGAAACCAGAAAGTTGCTAAAGCAAAAGGACAGTATTACCTTTCAGATAATGTGAGTCTCATTGTGTTTCACTGACCAACAGGATGGGGAGAGAGAGGATGAAGCAAACTCTCTCCCTACCTTCCTCTTTACCTCCTCTTCTTCCCCCAACAGTGTTGTGAATATCCCTTCCAACACACCCGGACTTGGCTGTAGAGGGTGATGGACTTACACATTTTGGTCAACTAAATGCTGGCCCAGGGTAAGGCAAAACTCACTCTGACATCATGAGGTTGGGGGTCTATTTTACACAAGCAGCAGGCAGTCAGCCTCTTTGTCTGGGAGGAAAGGCAGCCTATCTACATCAAATTCCAGTACTGAGACTCTCAATCAAGTCAGAGTTTTCAGATGTCCCAAGGAAATCTGTTAATTGATTTCTGACTTCTAGGCATTAAAAATAGCCTCAGATAGTAAATCTCAAGATTTGATGAGCCTGTCATAACTAAAAGCACTAATTTTTTAAAATGAACAAATTTTAGTCACGTCCCTGGAACTGTGAAGTCACAGGATTGATTGACAAAGTGAAAATGTAGCCAAGATCCTTGCATTCCTAGAGAGATTCACTGATTTTATAATTCCCTGGACCTTTCCATGACATATTCTGTGGGGCTTTCCACAAGGCAGATGAAAACATGAGGTGACTCTCCAAGAAATATGAGAGGACAGAGTGACATAGGTATGGATTCAGCTGTTCGGATTTTTATTGCTATTTAAAATTTTTACAGAAACTGAAAGACAGCTGTGCCTCTGGACACTTTCCTCAGAGAATATGCAAATCAGCTGCTTGTGGTAGTGTAGTATTTGTGTAATAATCCCTATTTTACTTTTCCAGTTCAGGCCTCCATCATGCAGGTGGTTATGTGATGTCCAGAGGTCCCAGCTGAGAGGGGCCCCAGAACACCAGGCGCAGTATGAACATATAGGCTTTGTTATGTTAAAACCCACACAATAATTACATCCTCCTCTTAGTAAAGGGACCACTGAAGAGGAGTATTGTGCATTTGCTATTGTCTCTCCCTCCTTTGATGACTGGGCTGAACTCTCATTAGGCCTAATTGGATATTTGCAACATGACCTCAGAGGAGGCTATACCTGTGTGTTCCCCATGCCCGAGGACTGCCTGGGGAATAGGATGTGTCCTTAGGGGACGTTTTGGGACCATGCTGCTCTGGCTGACTGAAGACCTGCAAGGGCCAGCACCACTGGATCATGGTCAGCTCGGCCCTCAGAAGCGGTGACAGGGCTAAAGCCAGGCTGCATCGGGGTTGAGACCTCAGCCATGGCAAGGCAGAGCACGGCCACATCCTGGGACCCCACTTTGCCTGGTCTGGAGTAGGGGAGGGATGCCTGGTCCAAACACAGCTTATCCCATCAGACTTATTTTCCTCACTTTTTGTAAAGCAATGTGACTGAGCTTCATCCATGGTATGCTGTCAGGCTGGGCTTATTTATAACAAAACCAAACAAACCCCACTCTTTCGCATATGCTGGGTTCTGTTTCAGTTGTTCAGAGGCAGACTAAATAACACTGCATGTAAGGTAAATTGGGGAGACAACGTGTGGCAGGCCTTCTTACCCACCCATGTACCTGATAGATATCTCCTCTGTTGCTATAAACTCCAGTGTTCATTTATGCTCTGTTTGAAATGAAAACCAAAACCACTTTTGTCAGGCAATATTCAAAGGAATGTCATGTCAGCAAAGTTTCAATGAAAGCAAGGAGCATTCAGATGCATGAAACTATAATGTCTCCAGTCCCAGATACTTCTGTACCATATGGCCAGAGAGAAGCAGATGGGCCAGGTCACAGAGGGGGAAGAGAGGGAGAGACTCGGGATTGTTATCTGACCCAATGGGCCAACACTAACAGACTGTCCCCTGTGACCAGGCTATTATTATCAGAAAGAGCTGATAAGAATGTGATCCTCACATTTATTTGCCCTTAGGTAGTTCTCACATGTGATGCCCGATCAAAATGACCTTTTTTTTTTTTTGCAGATGTTTATTTTGGGGCTGGAACATTTGACTCACAAAGAAGCAGCAGACTGTGCTGCACTGGTCTGTTATTGATTTTAGATACAGGTTATTCCTACCTGTTTACTTGCCTAAAGTTCAGAAAGTGGTTTGTCTAAATAAGATAAATTCAATAAGAAATAATGCAAAAAGATTCTTTTTTAGAATTGTTATTATTATTATTGCTGTTACATGACAGTGTAAACATTAGCCCAGCAAAAATGAAGCAGAATAGCATGGTTCCTGTCAGAGAATTCCTGGGATATCTGGTATGATTTGAGCAGGAGATTTCTATGTTACTATGTTTCTCGGTTAGCTGCCCTGTATTACCACTAAGAAAAGTTCCCCGAACTATTAAACTACAAGGTGTAGTTACCTAAACATCACATGGAAAAAGTTTTGAGGGTATTATTACAAGAAAAAAAAGGAGCAAAATTGCATGAAAAATACCTGCATAGTGAAGATGGAGAGAGAAGCCAGCTATTTCTGTTTGTGATTCAAAGGTGCTAAATATTTCACCAGAGTTGCAGAATGGACCCATTAAGGGTAGTTACACTGCAGGTTTTTCTTGTGAGTAGGCTTTTCTGTGTTGTATTTTATGGCTCTTCCTCTCAAGCACTTTATAGTCCCCAGAGGATGCCCACTTGAAAGAATAAGTAGTGCTATTCTCAACTTTGCATCTAGGATACCACAGCAGAGGAGATCTCAGCACCTGCCCTGTGGTGCAGATCTCTTGGCTTCCTGGATCCTGGCAGCAGCCCCCCAAATCACAAAACCTTCCTTGCTCCCACTGCTGAAAGAGAGACCTCAGCCATGACTGCAAGAGACTTGGTGCTCTTGATAGCATCAGGTCCCCCTGTCCTTCAGGGCTTCGAATGGCCCTGCGAGGCACCCAACGTGCCCAGCAGAGCAACGGGCTTCGCCAAGTGTCCATTTCTCCTTCAGCAACTGGGCTGAAACCAAACTCACTTTATACAGACCACCCAACAGCTGCCAGACAGTCACGACTTTCGGTCTGGAGTGACTTTGGCAGCCTCAGATTGGCTACGTGGAGGTGAAAAACACCCTGAACTGTCCCTGTCCTTTGAGACACTGCTGCGAACAGGAGCAAAACTGCAACTACATAGGCACAGGCCATGGCACTTTGCCCAAGCAACAGCTCCCTAAGCCATTCCTCTTTGCCCTCTGGCAGCCCTAAAAAAGAAGAGATTCAATTTTCCCCTACTAAAAATATGAGCAACAGAAACATGTCCCCTTGTCCACTTTCCTCTGGTGGCCTGAGATGACAGGGAAAGTTTGCTCTTGACTATTTGGGGAAGCCAATACTGGCCATTGGCAGCCGTCCGCAGCGCTCCTTTTGTGAGGCCACAGGTGAGATTAGCCCACATGTTGGCACTGGGGAGGGAAGAGCATCTCTCCATCCCTCCCCTGCTGTGCTCTGCACCCAGAAACAGTTGTGACCTAAGAATGAAATGATTATTTTTAATGACTGAAAAAGATCATGTTTCAAGTCTCCCATTCTATACAACATAAGAATTAACAAAATGATTGTATCACTGCTTGATATCTCCAGATGGCTCTGTTGTTTACCAAGGATTCTTTTGCCCAAGACTAAATGCTGGGGTTCCTTTTGTGGTAATTATTTCATATATGTGATACTTGGATAAACAATAGGCAGAGACAGAGAAGCCAGTTTTGCACCAATGATGCCATTTGATCATCCCATTCTAAGCTATTTTGTAAAAGGAAGATTTTGTTGACCAGACATTGCTGTTTGACCTTAAGCACTAGTTATTATGGGCTGCAAAAGCGGGAAAGCTCTGTGTCCAGAATCTCTAAACCTTATCAAAATGGCCATTTGGGACACTCTCACTCAAATTAAAGCAGAGAGATTTATTACTGCTAAATGACAATATTAACGCTCACAGAGCCTAGGCAGATTGTTACCTATGTATGTGATTTTCTATGTCCCAGAGAGGCAATGGAGGGTCTCTGGGGTCTCCCTGTATTACAGCACTGACTGCAGTTTGGAGATGTGTTGAGGGACAGGGGGGGTGTCTGTGTGTACCTATGTATAGGCAAGAGCAGTGGACAAGGGGTAATCAAGCTCTTCAGAGATAATTTTGTCCCTCTGGAATTATCTGTACCATTTACCAGTGTTTAGGGCTGTGGGCTAGCTCTGGGTTAGGATCCAATGCAAACTACAAGTGAGCACATATTTTGCTGAGAAATATATACTGTAATTATTCTTTGCAGACTTTACAGACAAGTATTCCTAAACTGCAAGAGCATGGATGGAAAGCCCACCCCTCTCCTGTAGGGGTATCAGAGCACATCTAACAGGGGAAAGGAGAGATTTCTGTTGGCATCCCACTCCTGGACTTTCCCCTCTGCTGATAACTTGGTATGGCTCCTATTGAAAATGAAGGTTATTCAAGGTAATTCAAACACTTCTGGGCTAAAAGAAGCCCCCAGACTCCCTGCTGTGAGCCAGGTGTGGGGACATGGTACCCCTGGCTGTGCCCCAGTGGAGCTGGTGGCCCTGGCGTGGGAGACACACAGCACCTACCTCAGCTGTATGCTGCCCGCTCAGATACATGCCCAGCTCTCCTACACTTCTTGACAAGTTTTTAGCCAGGTTGCACAGACTGGCATATAAACACAGTCTCACCAGGGAGCTATGAGAAGTCAAGCTTCAAACTCAAATCCCCCTTTATTTTCAGTCCAGTGGAAGCTCATTTGACCTCATCTTTACTTTCGCACTCATCTGCCCCAGCAGTTCATTAGTGTAGGCATTATATTTTATTTTATTCTAATCTAATCTCAAAAATAATATAAACTAGCTCTGGTTTAAATACCTGACTGATTTGTTTTGAAGACGTTATTCTGAGCTGCCTGTCTTTTCTCCCTGTTTTCCCTACTTTACCAGAAAAAGCTTCCATTAACTGGTCAGACACATAAATATTTCTGAAAGGAAGGTAGCTAGATTTCAGGGAAAAGGAACAATATATTCAGAAACTTCACAAAGGTGACAAAAAACTATACAACGGTGCCAAAACTGTGGTCATGTACAAGAACTCTTTTAATATATTTATATACAGAAACAAGAATAACAAAGAACAAACGAAATGGAAGAGGTAAAGAGAACAGGAAAATTAATTCCCCAAGTGTTAAATATTTAGAGACAGAATATCGGTCATTTAGTGTAAGTGATTTCCCATGCTAACCAGGAATGCAATAGGAAAAAAAAATCAGAATTTAACTCTGCTCGATATACATTGTCCCAGCTTGATGCTGCAAAGTACTTTTCATTACAAGCCAAAAGAACAGCCGTCTCTGATGCTTACTCGAATGTCTCAATTTCTGGATTAAGCTGTCCCATTGTTTTGAAACACAGTTATGGTTTAGAGACCAATGGGACATAGACTATCCTAATCTACTATAAACAGCCTGTAGTGGCGAAGGGATACTCTGCACTAGAGAGCCATCTAAGTCTTCTAATTACTTCGGCTACTGATAGATTGGCTCTTACCCCCTTGAATTCCTTTGTCACTGAGGAGTTAAAATTCATGAGCATCTATGCTGCTGAATACTTACTCCAGTGCTGTTATTTTCTGCGCCAAGCTAGCCATCACTGCAAAGAGTCGGAGGTCTGTCAGGCCATCTGTTACATAATAGTCAACAATCTCTAAAATCTGGGGAAACAGAGATGGAGAGAGCAAAGATGATGAAGGGTTTAAAAAGAACAGATTGCTGCCTTGCTTGGAGGGGAGGGGAGCAGGGGAGAAGGCTGGATAATAAGCCCTGATGGAAACAGAGACAAGCCCGATTAGCACAGCCAGCAAAACAACCCCCCAAAATATTAATGCTAGTCTCCAAGGAAGTTGACAAGGACACCAGACTAGTGGGGAAAAAAAAAAACAAACCATGCTTTAGGGCAGGAAAGCTGAAGGAGGGCTTGAAAAATTACAGCTATAATTTTGGCATTGCCATACACAACTACACACTGAAGATTCTTTGAGAACACCCTCTAAATTGGTAAAGAAGCCCACCTCAAATCTTCTGTCTCTTGGTATTACACAACACACTCTCTGGTATGCCACAGGAAAGTTAGTCTAACTTTTTCCTTCTACCCTTGCCTTTTCCTCCTTTCCCCCTCCCTTTGCAAAGGAGTTTTTTACTGATTTTAAAGGCATCAGAATGGTGAGGACTTGCAAAAGTAGGGCTCAGCTACCTTCTATTTATCTTGCCACATATCCATGTTTTAAACAGGACTGGTCCAAAATGCTCTCAGGAGACATATTATCCATTCATCTGCCTCTGCAGCCATTGAAATAGTACCACCCAACTATATTAAAACTCTCCTAACATGAGCTGACTTCTTATCTGCTCTGTCGAGCTCTGTCTGGTCTTATACTTGCTTCACTCACTAATGCTTGCAGAGCTGACTCCACCAGCAAAAGGCATAATGCTTGTGGATGTGCCAGCCTGAATGCACTGCAGGTCTTATCACCAGGCTCCTTGGAGCTCCCTCCAAACGGATGACCCTTCAACATCAAGGTCCAGATTTTACACCCAAACTCTTAACTGGGAATTGAAGGCCTTACAGCAGTTTCAAGTAGCTGTTTCTGCTTGAACAGCAATGAGAAACAGCAATCAGACTTTCGGGTTTGGTTTTGTCAGCCCTCTTTGTCTTTCAGGGACTGATTGGTGACCACAGGATTTCTGTGGCCTCTCACAACATGAAAACACACGATCTTAACTCCTGTAAAGATCATATACTTCAGAGCATCTCTTCAGACCGAATTGGAGTTGTATGTGCTCTCTTGCTCAGGTGCTTTGCTTTATTATCCCTCTGAGTTTTGCAAATAGATTTTAAACTGTAGCAGAAAACAGAATACATACTGCTGAGGAAGGGAGAGGAAAGAGATGTTTTCTGAATGCACATATACAAACAACTAAAGGTGTAGGGATAACTTTGCTAGTTAATTTTTCATGACAGTAACCACTGCCAAAGCAAACACATCATAATGGACATAATTAAAATCTGTGCTCATTCATTCATTCATTGTGGTTACTATAGGGAAAGGTGGTTCATTAACTGAGATCCAAGTGTATAGTGTAATGTGTCCCTCTTAGCTGTATTAATGGATCACGTAAGATAATGCTGACAGATGGAAAACATGAGCTTTATAGGTCTGATAAAAATAAACAATAAATGCAGGCACTGCTGAACTGGGTTATCATTGTGCAACATGAGTTGTGTAATGATGTTAGCACTGGCATCTGCCATAGAGCTGATGCTTCAGAATACTAACATCAAGTCACTTGATATGTGTTTGATGTCTAAACAAGTCACATCCTTTGCAGAGAGGAACAAATTGCAATGGAGACTGACTGCGGGGTTCCAAGTTTCAGATAAAAATCTGCCCAGATGAATTCCATGCAAAATAATTTTCCAAAATACTTTCTTCTTTTAATCATATGAAATATGCAGTTGGAGCCTTTTTGATTTTTTTTTTTTTTTTTTAAACATCCAAATAACTTGGTCTCTGCTCTAGCGCTAAAGCCTTGTCTAACATTTCGTGATGGGAATGCAAAGCAGGGCACCAAGTACAGTAGTACAAATAACACTTTATTTACAGTTTCATGGCTTTCAGATTTCCTGTCTCCATAATCACTTCCTACTAATTTCCTTCTGTTTTGTTTGAAATGGTAGTCTTTTCAAAGAAAGTGCCCAAAGAAACAATGCCTTTGTAAGGTTTGGATTAAAACACAGAGGTTTTTATACTTCTTTTACTTGATGTCTGTATTTCCTAGTACCGGTTTTCTGTATTAACAGAGTTCGTGCTATATGTCTGGATGGTTCAAACAGGATCATGATAAGAAAACTGCAAAATGGCCAGCAGTGAAGGGCCGAAGTCTCAGCTGGAGGAAGCTGGCACAGCTCCACTGATGTACATCAGCTAGAAACCAGAATTGCTTGAAGAGCCAAATGTTTTAATGCTGGACATGAAAATTTTTCAAGCATCACTATGAAACTTGGAAAATTTGTTAATACTTGAGCATATAAAAAACATTTAGATATAGTCAAATGTCTGTTCTGTAGGAAATAAATAAAAGCAACTAACACAGAGGTGGAGTGGCTATACAGGGAGACTAGCTCGGTCTGAAATTAAATCCACAGAGTATTTGACATATTTTTATCTTGCCTAGTGATTTCAGTTGTAACATCTCGTACAGCTATATTTAGACTGCTCGACATTATGACAAGTTGGCTGACCAAAACAGGTCAGATCCCAAATCCCCTGTCACTTTTCAAAATGTATGTATCAATTGAAAAAAAAACCAAAAAAATCTGTGCAAAGACATAACATTGAGTATCATGAGTAGACTGCACCCTTAGTGCTGTCTCTTGGTCCTGTCTCAACTACTTGGCCAAAACTGCCTGTATAAGAACCAAGGCAAAACCCTAATTTCCACCACTGACCTCTGGCCTTACCCTTCTTTCAGAGCTTTGATTTCGCCCCAGGCCCTTCAGAACTTTAACACTACTATTACTTCCAAAACTGAAGAAAAAGAAAGTTGTGTCATATCCTTAGATGGGTTATGTCTGAAATTGTTTAATAAAGAACTGTCTCATACATGTGCCAGTGCTGCTGCTGGTCAGGTTGCTTTCCTTTATTTAAGGGGAGCTTTGACCAACCAAATATCACAAATAAATGGTGAAGGTATGAATACTGGAAATGTTTGCCAAGCCTTCTCACACCTTTCCAGGAATGGACCTTTTGGCTGCTGTAAGCCAGCACTTCCGAAGGGGCAACTTCTTTCAAGACCATCAAAATTTACCAGTGGTTCAAGCACCCATCTTCATGAGCGCCAGCCTGGAAAGACACTCACAATATTAGTTTCAGCAAATTAGCCAGTTGCCACTGAGCAGAACCCCAGTGTCTCAGAAGCATGGCTTTGACAATGCATAGTTAAGCTCTGCTTTCGTTTTTCAAGCTGAGGGAAACCCTCAAAACCTTTCACTCTTTCCCTTCACCGAGCAGCAAAGCACAGGAGTTTAGCTTTTTTTGGCTCCACACCTTCTTCACCAACTAGTAATTTCCCAATACATAATACAACAGAGTACCAGCAGCAGAATAACTTTGAAAATTCAAAAATCATGTGAATATAAAGAACTGCTGAAAGAAAGGGGGAAGATGACATCTGTCTATGACTTCCTATTATACTGAGCTAACACATACTGTAAACTCTACAGTCTTTCTACAGAGACACTAATGTTCATTGAGTTTCTCAGTGAGATGATGTGTCAGATATGTCTAGGCACTGCACAGTCTAAACGGCTTTATTATCTTCTGGAGAAGATATGTAGACAGAGAAAAAAAGATCTGAACAAGC